ACATAGCCAGCGACTGCGACACGCGCGATTACGAATTCGCAGTCGGTTCGCACGGCGTCTTGCGCCTCAACTTCATGGTGTTTGGCGGTCGCGGAGAAATCGATGAGAGACGTCTGCAGCGCGCGGTCACCACGCCCAAAGCGAGGGAGGACGCGGAGGTGCACCGAACCCCATGCGGGACAACTCCATGGCGCTGTTACGCACCGGGTGCGCCGCCCCGCCTCGATTCGCAGCATCTATAAATGACTCGACTTAACCCAATGGGCCGTCCCCTCCGCGCGTCTGTAAAAGGGACATCTCTCTCCTTGCGTTTCCGAAGTGCGACCGGACAGTTCCCCGGAATTAGTCACCTCTCTTCGCGTGGAAGCCTCGCGCGACTATTGAAATTCAAGAGTGACTTCTCAGACAGCGTAGAAGTCCGAAGGACGTCGCGAAGGCATCCGAAAGATGCCTTTACGACGTCTTTACGACTTTCGCGCTGTCTGGATTTTCTCGCCGAGACGTCACGTCGAAATTCACCGGGGAACGGGAGAGTACACGGAAAAAGAATTAGTCTCAAATCAATTCTCACGTATAAGCGAGAATATTATAATCTTCTTGGAAGATTTTTCGTCTTGATTCGATTGATGCGAGTGTTACTTGCATTCAATTCAAGACTAAAAATCTTAGAAGAATATTATAATAATCTCGCTTATATGTGAGAATACCGTTGACTCGAGACTATTTCTTCTCTGTGTACAATGCCTTTTTATTGGGTTTTTCTTAGATCGTTTCGAGTTTCTCCATATTGTAGGACAAAATTTCCCGGGGGGAACGGTCATTTACGACGCTCTTGCATAAGTAATAGGCACTTTCTTTTTTTTACACAGCTACTAAATAAATGACTGAATATATAGAAATCACTCGGTTTCTCACGTCGCAGCGACGTCGCAGTGCAGGAGAAATTGGCCGCGCGAACCGAGTCAGTGACTCGGTGGCTTGGTTTAATTGACCCGAGGCGACGGCGAGGTGTTTTCACGGCTTCAGAAATCAAGGTCACCATACGTACGCGCGCACGTTTCACGAGGTTGAGCGTGTAGCGCGTCGCGTGAACGCGAGCATTTCTATCCTCGTTCCGAGCGCCGAGTTTATTCCGAGTTATTCTGAGAATATAAATCGCGCGAACACACAGGAGGCTCCGTATGCATGAGCATAAGTCAGTTTTTCAGGCTCGAAACTAGCTCAATTAACAGAAATGACCCCGAATGAAATCATTATAGGATTCTCTCTTCCTCCACGACGAGATAAATGGCCCAGGCAGATCTCAAGAATTTGTATCTACGGGTAATGCGATATTAACTCACCTGATTGTCTTTTAATTTCCTTCTTTAATTTTTTCAGGAAGAATTCAAAGATATTATTAATTATTTCCGATAACGCTGAGTATGTTGTGTACACGTTAGTATCTTCACACAAATTTGTTTGGATAAATATTATTCTTTCTAGAGTGGTAAAGAAAAGAAATTTAGCTGATACTAATTATACATTTATTTTAATATATATATTTATTGTTATATCAGATATGATTATCGTTGTTCTTGTCACAGTCATCAAGAGGATTGATATTCGCGGAGATATTCCGCGATTTAATATTATTGCAAAACGTTTGTGCAAAAAAAAAACTTTGTGGAATTCTTGCTTTATCACGACTCGACGATAAACTGGGATCACTGGGAAACAAGACATGAGTTGGTTTCAATCCAGGATAAGGGCTGGGTTTCCCCTTTTCCTGTGGCCGGATGTCATGCCAAGGCGATATCCTCCGGACGTTGGTATCCTTCGAGATAAAGTCCGCGCGAGATCTTTCTACGACTGTTTCGTCCGCGCAATTGCAGCATGCTTGCTTTACTTACTTACTGGGCGATAATCAGTCTCGTCGGGAGGCGCGCACGATGTAATTGGAGCGATCCGTTCGGCCTAACGAGGGTCCGTTCACACCCACGTATCGAGCGCGCAGCGTGCATAAACGACTACCAAATATAGGCTCTGCGCGCTTTCCGTCAAATCCGGAGAACTTTCCGGCGTTGTTCCTAGTAAGTTCCTCGTACCTTCTAATTGGCAATGCTAATGAATGCGACAAATGCGATACGCACGCATAAGCTAATCATTGGCGTATGCCAATTATGGAGATTCTGTCATTCGGCAATTATGCGTACAGAAAAATATACATACTGCATTCGAGCAGATGTCATTTGTTTTAAGTATGTCATAGGTAGAGATTTTAAAATTTCGGAAAAAAACCCCGTTTTCCCGATTTTTCCACGGATTTCTTTGCTTTCTTACCTTCTTTACGGAAAAAAAATATATGTGGCAGATATTAACCAAACACACGTGATTTTTTCTAAATAAACTTTTGTATCTTTTGTATCCTGGACAAAAAAGCAAATAAATCCACGGAAAAATTGAGAAAAAACTATTTTTATCCGGCACTTTGAAACTATAATCATAAGTTTATATTATATAAGTTCACCATAAACATCAAATTTATTCAAAATATATTCTGAATTCTAATAAGTTTAGTATTTCACAATCAAGAATATTGAGTTAGAACAAACTTTGGTTTACTTATTCCAATTAACCAAATTTAACTTTTCTTTTCGATATAGTTTATAATATTCTCGAAAAGAAAATAAATTCTTTTTTTGATTACGTGATAATAAGCTTTTCTAAATTTGTAAAGAGTATATTTTAACACTATTTTATCAAGAAAATATTATTTTTTTGAAAATAATTACTACTTAAAAATAGGACAAAATAAACGCTTTTTCTAGCAATAGAATGATTTGTCTCTGTGTGAAAATATATTGGTTTGTTTCTAACAATTCTCCCAATAACGAGCGCAAACTTTTCGTGACACTCATATTTTCATTGCTTTGCGAATTTTAGCGACTCAGTGACGTTGATTTATCGCAGAGAGAGATACGTATGTACAATTTCAGATTTCAAGTGCGAATGTAACTCGAGCACCGCTTCTCACACGTGACCTTCTTAGACTTCCTCCGTCGCGTAACTATACTCGGAGCTGCACTCGACATTACCTAGCTAAATACAGAGCACGCTTCAATATCTCTCCATATGCGAATACGTGTCAGGGTTTCCGTGTGAGTTGCTTTTTTCGACCGAAATTATTATACTATACCGGGAGGAATACACTGACGAATTGAAAGATGGAGAAACATTCGCTGAGAAGAGGCCATTCGCTGGTAAAATTCAATCTAGAGTCCAGTAGTACACATAAAAAAATACATGCTGCACTCAAATAAATATGTTATTTATTTCAATAAGTATTTCATAAGTTTATACATTTACAAATATATAAGTAAGTTCATTATGAGCAGCAAATTTAGTCGAAAGATATTCTAAATATTAATATAAGTTTAGTACTTCAATCGATAATATTAAATTAAACTAAACCTCGGTTTGTATGTGTGTGTGTGTGTGTGTGTGTGTAGTTATTAAAATTAACGGAATTTTTCTTTGATAAAGTTAATTGTATTCTAGAAATTCTTCTTTTAAGTACATAATAATGAGTTCTCCTAAATTTGTGATGAGTATATTTTAAGACTATTATCAAGACCATAATCTATGTTAAAGATAATTTATGTTAAAGATAACTTATGATAACTATGCTAAAGATAACTTACTTAAAAGATAGGAAGTAAACTGAGCAATCGTTTTTCTTAGCAATAGAATGATATTTTGTTCTGCGAACGATCGGTTTTATTTGTTCCGGTCCCATTCATATTTTGACCTGCCGAATTCAGATTCTGGAAAGTGCGAATTCGGTAAATGCAAATCTGCTTTCTCGTCTGAGTTTCTACATTAATTATTGTCCGTATGGTTACACATAAATATTGAGGTGAGTTAAATGGTGTTTTGTAATAAACAGAAAATTTACGATGTAAGACGTATACATTTAAAATTAATGAGATGTCAATCCAACTTTTCCTCAATAAAGTCTATAATATTATTGAAAAGAGAATAAATTCTTTTGAGTACGTGATAATAAGCTTTTTTAATATTTATAGAGTATATTTTAAGACTATTTATATATATATATATATATATATATATATAATTAAACAATATTTTTTGTTGAAAAGTATTATTTAAAAGAACGAAAATAAATTGAGTAATTGTTTTTCTTAGCGATAGAAAGATATTTTTCGCTGTGCACCAGCTAATAGTAACATTATAATAATATTAATTATACAAATAATATTATAATTTCTTACTCAACAATGCAACTGTTATATACAACTTATGTTATGTTACATCGTTGAATAAGAAATTATAACATTAATATAATGTTACCGTTAGTTGATGTTTACTAGGTAATAATTAGATGATCGTATTGCACAGAGATTCGATGATAATGATAACAGTAGTGATTAACGTTCCTTATCGATAGAATCTCGTAATAACATCGGATATATGCATGTTTTATTATACGCTACAGAAGTTAATGGAAAGAATCAGGTAGAATCTCGAATTCTTAAGCGGCACGACCGGTGAGAGCCGGATAAACTTCCTCCTTCAGTCGCCGCAGCGAGAAATATACCTCTTTCTAATTTGACAATATATAAATTACACCGTTGAAAAATAAGGATCCGCAATTAAACCGCTTGTAAAGGGAATCAGATGAAAAAAAAACATCGCGAGCGGATAATCGATTCTTCAACGAGAACAGAGTCGAGCACATCGATCTTGCGCTCGACCATCGTCCGTTCTTGCGGCCGAAGTAGCTAAAATAAACTAACTAAACTAAAGCGAGTTAAGCTAAGTACTGAATGAAACCAAACTAAGCTAGTTAAAGTAGCTGCGAGGGAACCCAGATAAAAAAACACAATAAGACAGATAATCGATCTGACTCGAACGATAAATCGATTCATCGTTCGACTATTACCCGTTTTGTGGTCGCGGTCGTGCCGCCACCTTGCGGAATTCCTGGAACTATTATTGAGAAAGAGAGAGAGAGAGAGGTCGCGCGATAAGTCCTAACCTCAAACTTTTGAAGAGAATTTCATGGAAATTCGTGTCCGACGTTGATCGACCGGACGAGGTTTCCGTAAGAGAAAGGTGGTTTCATTTCCGAGGAATAGTCCCCGGTCGCTCGCCACGATGAGCGTGTTTACCCAGAAGCTGAGTCGGCTGCGGTGTTCGTACTCGACGCTGTTAAGGCTATCCAATAGGCGCGAACATCCGCAGTGGTTAGTCGCGTCGTTGAGCTGCAGGAGGTTACACTTGGTACAGTCTTCCACGCAGGGCGTCGAGCCGGATGACCGTCACGAGACGGTCAGCAAGTCGGAGATCATGGGGGAGAACGATTATGCTCATAGACTCTTCCTGAACTCGTACAAGTACGCCAAGAGCATGATGCTGCGGAACACGGCGCATGCCGAAGTCAGCAACGAGAAGGCCAAGGAACTGTTGGAGCAGGACTGGAGTCAGAAGATCGGCAATGAGCTATTGTCTGCCGTGAAGAAGCTCAGCTACAACATCAGCTACAATGATGAGAGAATAGACGAGCACTTGTACAAGAACGCCTTCGTCGCGATGCATAACAACCATCAGAAGCTGAACGATCAAGACTTGATCACGTTGACGCGATACTTGGTGCCGTTCTGTCAGTACCTAATCAAGGAGCCCTTCTGTCAGCAATTCTATAAGCAGCTAAACTTAGAGTGCGTCAAGCGTTTCATGAACCTGTCCGTCAACAACATGCTCGCGCTCTGCGACACGTTTTACGAGATGGCACATTCTTACAAATCTGAGTATATCTGGTATGCCATAAGGAAATTAGGTAATAAACCCCAAAAGCTGGCTCCTCATCATCTAATCCAGGTGTTGTTCTTCCTGAACGTGTGTCGGAAGCTACCTATTAACATGTATGAACTGGAGTATCACTTGGAGCAATGCTTCGACGAATTGACTATCAACGAGGTTGGTGTGGCGGCGTTGGGCTTTTTCAAGACTGGCACGAAGATCAAGAGCCATTGGCTCTTGAGCCGCCTTATGACAAGAACCATCGCTGAATTAAATTATACGGACACTGTTAGTATCGGAGCAATCGCCAAGTTGATACGGTAAGATGAAGTCTGTGGGTATCCGCCGTTTTTTCCACCGTTGTCTGGGAAATATGGAAAGTCGGGAAACTTCAAAATTCATTTTTTGTGGCAACCCTGGGATTTTTAATCATTATGATTTTGTCGGGATCTTTGAAATCGAAATATTTTAATAAAATTAAAGATAATAAAAGAGATATATAAAGGAGGTAATAAAAGAGATCAAATCTTTATTATTGTAGGCCCATATTTAAAAAATACTTCTCTTAGAATCAAATTATCATTTTTGAAAATATAAGCTAGCTAACTTGGGTTTTGGTAAGTTGATACAGTTTAACTGTACAAATAAGAATTTTAAAGGTTTGCAGATTGCGATTAGCAAATCTAAAAGAATCTAAGAATTTTTTATCCTTTGTTAAAAATAATAAATTATTACGTTTTAATTGCCACTTGGTTATGTGAAATAATAATCAACAATTAATATGTGGATATTGCAAAATTGAATTATTTCCCTTGAAATTGTGCCCTTTTTATGCTTTTATGGCTCTAGTTTAACATTTTGTTTCCAGGTACAGCATGCAACTTACGGAAATCAACAAGCTTAAAGAGTTGATAGACGCTATAGTGCCGATCGAGTCTCGCTTGACGCTGATGACCCTGAATCATATCGCGCACGCGAGTACGAGGGTTTCGCTGTACCACGAAGAGTTGATAAATACGATAATCAAAAGGTATATCTTACTGCGATAGGACGGTGAATCGGAGATGTCGAATCGATATGTATGACCGTGGTAATTCCAGATTGAACAACGAGTTGACGACCGCAAGAATCAAAGACTTTGAGAGACTCATCTTTTATCTCACCTGCTTCAACGTCGATCCGAACAAAAGCGTCTATCACAACGTGATCCAGGAGCTGCGGGCCGCGTGGTACACGAGTAGAGCACAAGAAATACAGCAGTAAGCGTTATTCTACAATAAGACTTCTCTATCAACGTCTTTTTCGCAATTGTTCAGTCAGTCAAAAAGTTCGATTCAATTTTTCGAATAAAACGCGATTTTATCGATGAAGACTGATTATTTTTCAATCAAGTAATCGTTGTTTATGGTCAGTATTCATGGCCCGTTCTTATATATTCTTATATACGGTGTTATATGATATACCTCATAAACTTGAGGAATTTCTGATGTTTCTGATATAAATTGAAGTATTGATATAAATTGAAAATATTCTGTAAAAATAGGTCCAATTCGAAACGGTCATTTGTATACAAGTATTTAAAATTAAAATTTATAAATGATGGCACAATTTTCAGTGAACGTTGATTTTATTAAACGTAGAGCATTATTTTTATTAAAAATGGAAAAAGAGAAAAATGAGGATTCAAAATTTAATATAGGAAAGGAAGGTTGACCCATTAACTGCCAAATTTTTTTTTTTTAATTTTTGGCCGGATAAATTATATATATGTACAAAAAGTTGTGTAACAGTATAATTATATTCAAATTATGTTTTGTTTTGAGCCCCAAATGGGGATCGTGGCAGCTAATGGGTTAATATTCGAACTGAATTATTACAGCGTATTGATGACGCGGTGAATAAATAAATAATAATCATAATATTCTTCGTACGGCTACTCTATCTATTTTATATCGCATTTTACTGTATTAATACCGAAGGAATTTGAACAATTTATGCAATCTTTATGTTTTCTTCTTTATTTTTCATTTTTAATGAAAAATGTCCCAAAAAATTGTGCTATCATATATTTATAAATTTTAAACACTTATAGATGGATAACCATTCCAAAGTGGGCCCATGTTTATAGAACATTTTCTACTTCAATTTATATCAGAAACAGACTTCTTAGTTTATATGCCGTGGTTTACAGCCTTGCTTTTTAGACATAAGCAAATTGACCAATTATAGTTGATTATTCTTATAATAAATAATTATAATTAGTCAATTTGCTCACTACATATGTCTTAAAGCAAGATTGTAGACCCCCTTGTGGATGGCTAACCCCTTGACTACAACGTTGTTGTAAGACGTGAGAGTAAGCAAATTGATTATTCTTCTAACGAACGATCGTGGTTGCTCAATTTGTTTATTATTTACGTCTTAAAGCAAGATTGTGGACAATCTTGCTTTAATGGAATGTCATGTAATATCCTGTATTTAAGATCGTCTTAAGTTTATCTTCAGATGTTCCGTGAACCAATGAAAGGATTCGAACAATATCTGAAGATTAACTTAAGACGGTCTTAAATATAAGAACGGACCATGAATATCAATCTGTGATTTTTCTTCGTTGATACGTTGCGAATCGGCTAGCTTCTGCGGTAGAACAATATTCTTGATATTGTTCTACCGCAGAAGTTGGCCGATTCATTTCGTCGAAGAAGGCGGAAAATCGAGTTGAATTTTCAGGTTGACCCAATGCATCTTGAAGAGAGTATGAAATATTTGCTTTTCCCTGTGATAGGTTTCCATACGTGATCTCGCGCCTGTTAATATTTTTGTCGTACGTGAATCTATATCCCACGGATTTGATCGAACGCGTCATGGCGTCTCAATTCATACACAACATGACCACTGGAAAGTACTATCTCGTCTCGCAGGGATACATGGTATTGGATTACAGTCTTCAAGTGGAAGTACCCGAGTATAGTGGGCCGTTTCTTCGAGAACCATTGCGCGATTACCTGTTCAAAGTATGTTAACAATTCTATCCCTCACAATAACAGTCGATAGAGATATTTTGTACTTTGTGTTGATGACGGTTTTCGGTATCTTGAATTATTGAAAGAAATATCGTTTGTGATAACTGAAGAAGTCCATAAATGACACTCGTTAAGGTGAGACACATCGTACTTAAAGGAAAACAGATTCCTACGAGTTGTCGATTTGTCTCGTTCATTGAATAATTGTAACAGTAGACGACGTGATCTCATGTACATCGAGACTAATTCGAAGTCTACATTTTTCTCGTCAATTTGCATTATCGATGTTCTGGGCGATGTTTTTCAATAAGTAAGATACGAGTATTGCCATATGTGTTACTTGTTGTACACCTCACAGATCGCTAAAATGATACGTAACGACAAGTTCTATTGTCTTGCAGAGATATTTTCTGAATTTCAAATCCGCGGAGTCGAGTCGGGCGAATATACTTCTCACACACGTGCTGCAAACGTGTCAGGTACGCATATATCGCTGTGTAACGATCTCTCATCGCCGTTTAGAGATTAGTTTTCATTACCAGGGTATTCTCATGGGATACTCTTTAACAGGAGATGTTCAACAATACGTCGGACATATTAGTCGATCAGCTGTTACCACACTTCATGACACGGGACATCACCTTCGCCCTGGACGAACAGAATCGACTTGTATCTATCAAGGACTATATGTCCAAATTCGAGCCGGGAGAAATTAAGCGGATAAGCGAGGAAGATCGAAAGAATATTAGATGGATCGTGCTCATTATGGGATACCAAGGTGTTCTGATAAAGCACACAAACGAAACTGTGACTAGGTTGCCCATCGGACTCCTGGCTGCAAGGATAAGGCAGCTGGCCAAAATAGGATATACCCCAATCTTGGTGAGTCTTTATAAGAGTCAACATTAGGCGTTTCGATTGTGCCAAGAATAATAGCGTGCAAATATTGGCTTCGTCTGGATTCACATGAGTCTCAAATTGAAGTTCGATTCTGTTATTGTGGATTATTTTTCATTATATAGCTTAAGAGAGATTCTCTCTGAAAAATCGCATAATATGCTATCTATAAGATGATATATAATACAAATAAAATAATAGATAATATCTAGTGATATCTACTATTAGGATTTACGTTAACATCAAGTTAAGAAAATTAAAAAAAAAAGTAGCATAGTAAAATATATTATTTAGGATAACGGAGATGGCAGAGTAACGAGAATAAGTATGTTTAAATTGTTTCATAGGTATCGCACGTCGAGTGGGAGAAATGTGAAACGCAGGAGGAAAGGTATAATTACATAAGACAGCTTTTATTTCAAAATGACGCACCAGAATAAATCAGGTAGTGACAATATAATATAAAATGTACATAAATTATCATAATTTGTTTTCTAATCATATAAATCAAATCTGTTCATAAAAGTTTATCTCAAGAGAGAAACTTATAATGATTTTTGGTATGATTTTCCCTTAGCTCATATACATATAAATGCATAAATGTAATCAAGAGAGATAGTTATATTTTTTATCGCATACTTTGTATGCGTTTTAAAATATATTTACAAAAAATATTGCGTGTGTGGATAATAATATATTAATATTGTGTAGATATAATAATATCAATACATATACTCTGATATTTTAAAATATAATTATACATCAGGAAATAAGTTGATATATTATATTATCATACAATATTACTATATTTTGCGTATGTGCGTTTAAAGAATTACGTTAAATAGAAGAAAGTAATATGTTAAAATTTTCCTATTCATATGCTTCTATTTGCATACTTTTCATTAATTTTGTGGCAAATTTTTATCCTACTTGTCCTTGGATTGGTTACGTCGAACATTGTTCTTTCGTATGTAGTAGGCATAACAATTTTATGCCACATATTTTATTCGAATTTCTAGAGAACATTTTTTGGTTACATCAGGTAAAACACATCAGGTTCACTGGGGAAATCCAATGTCTAGGTCGATCTCAGAAATAATTGTACATGAGTTTTTTTGTGTATTCGACAGTGACGAACAATGTAGCGGTCGCTGGTACCGTTCGTATCAAAGTCGGCATCAATCCGTTGTACAGCGCGCCAACACCTTCTCGCTTCACGATGTCTTTGAAGACTATCCACGCGGGTGTCTTCAGATTTTTCACCTGGAAAGAAGATATCTCATTAGGAGTTAAAGATCTTTGTATGCTACGCTCTTCAAATATAATGCGTTGACACTTCTTATTACAAATTTTCCGATATCGCATAACAGGCTGACCAAACAAACCGGTCATTTTGGAAAAAAATTAACGTTATCGTCGTAAAAAAAAAAAATGTAATTGCGTCATCATTACTAGCAAAAAAATAACACCGTTATCAAGTCATTACTGAAAAAAAGTAACTCGTAATGGTAATGGCGTTATAAGGGAGACTGAGTCAAATTATATATTGGACTATATTGGTTTTGTTTGTATATTTATTGTGAGGAAACAGAATGCTTTTAGAATATACTTACATTTTAAAATATCTAAATTTAGCATTTTTTAGAGTTTTATAATTTAGAGAATTTAACAAACTTAGAATTTTTATATCAGATATATAAAAATTCAAATATTAAAAATATTAGATATATAAGTTAAAATATTTAAAATATTTGATATATAAATTCAGATATTTAACATATATATATAGAAGTTCAGATATTTAAAATATCGGATATAGAAGTTCCGATATATTTAAAATATGAAATTCAGATATTAAAAAATTTGAATTTAAAAAGAGGATATATCTATACCCTAAAAAGAACATTTGCGACAATTCTTTTTTCGCTATTTCTGTCACAATTAATACAATAAACAAAACGTCTAGACGTGACCCGGCCTCCCACAACATCCTTCGTGTCGCCAAGAACGAACCTGTATTCTACTCTTCACCACATCGGCGGGGAATATCACCAGCCAGAGCACTGTGCCGCCAACCGCTCCGGCTACCATCGTTTTCTGCCAACCAATGTCGTCCCTGCTTTGACCAGCTGTTGCTAACAACTCCCGCGTGCCCTCGTAGCCGCCGAAGAAGAAGAAGTAACCGGGCATCTCGCGAACTATCGTCGACGAGAGACCTGTAAACAGGCCTCTTACACCTTGCTCCCTAAGAATCTGCCTCGTCAAAATCCACGGTCCTACGTGCCTCTGAAGGAATAACGACGTCTGGTCACTCAAAAACACAATTAACCATTTTGCGCGTTTAGAAGTCACGTCGGCAACGCGCTATTCACCCTGGCTTTGCTGGCTGTCTGCGTCTCTTCTACCTCCTTCATCGCCTGCAGCTTGCACTTGATCAGCTCGGTCGGGCACAGCGTTAACGAGGAGAAGAACGCGGCGAAGAAGCCGGCCCAGGCATTGCTGATGGAGCTCAGCTCTTTCACGCTCTGCGCACCTGTATCGATAGAAAAGAAGTAACGTAAGAAAGGGCTTGATATCATTACACTGCATTACTCAAGTTACGTCATTTTTACGTGTTACGTTGGACTTCTGTACGAAGGAGCAAAGATTAAGCATAAGTTTGAGATAACGGTCTTACAATTTGTCGTGTGCGTTATCTACTTTGAGTAAGTAGCAATTTTGCTTCAAATGGTTATTTCCTATACAGAGCGTTTCAAGACCATCATACGATACTTGAATGATATTCTGAAGCTTAGTTGAATATCTTAACAAAAGAATATTGCGAATATTGTCATTCATCATTGTCATTGTCGATCGTCTTTCAAGTTACAAGACGATGAAGAAGACGCCTGGATAACATTAAGACGTCGTAAAACATCGTAAAGACATTTCTTAAACAATAAGACGTCTAAAAGACGTGTTTGAGATGATATGTGTCGTTCGGATGATCTTTCCGCAAGCTTCAGAAAACCAAATTAATAACAATTCACCTTTTCGTTAATTTCAGGTGGAATATATTTAAACAAAATTCTTATTTTAACCGAACGATTAGTTACAAAGATATGTGATATTAAAAGTTGGAAAATTGCGACGAATGATGATCTCGACATTTTTTAACACTCTTTGTCCTAAGCCCGAGTATAGCGTGCAGACAACTGCCATTCCATACGTTCCTACTGTTTTTAAAGTGCTTTGTTCACACTTAAAATTGATATATTGGTTGCTAAGTTACAACAATATGCATCAACAATGAAAATTTTTTTAATAGACATTAAAATTGTTCAGGATCCCATTAATAAATCATCTTTAAGGCCTAGGCTTCAAAGTGTTAAGGTAATTTTCGACTCCAACTGAGCTTCAAAATTAAGGTATTAAATTTACGTTATTAAAGTATTGAAAGAGGTAATTTTTTCGGAACGCTCTGTATAAGTTAGAGTCTGACTGTTCTACGTAAAGTCGCAAATGAATTGTACCGTTGCAGATCTCGATTCGGAGGGAAGTGTATATACCTGTTAGATGAGCGATCGCTTTCTGGCATCCGCCGTATGCGGCGAATAGCACGGAGTTCTCGGCGACGTTGGCAACCACAGCCGGGATAGTGCCGGCGTAGAGACCCCTCGCGATGCCGTCTGACCTTAGCGTTTGCAGGAAACAATTCACCATGCCCTTGTACATCGTGGGGAACGTCTGCATCTTCACTTTGACCGTGTCCAACGGTTGACCCACGTAAACGAGGGCTACGCCGCCTGTTGGGTAGAGATCTCTCGTTGAGAGGAGCTCCTTCATTTTTCTTAATATTTCTCGGATCTCTCAGACCGACAAGACAAAGTCTATGCTCTTTCAAAAACGTTATCGTGCACGAGCATTTTGACCGGAAATCAAAAGAGAACTTTTATATACAGTTCCTGGTCATATTATTAGACGTACTTTAATTTCTTACAATTCATCGGCATCCGAGGATCAACTTTATAATACGGCTCATCCGTCGATCCAATTATGTTAAAGAACCGTTATTTTATAAAAGATATTTTTTACGACGTCATTTCATTTGGCTGTTACAATGAATTACCTTGAACAAGTATGAATCCGCGCTAGTTGCATTGTTGATAATAACGAGAACCAGACGTGTTTTGAATGTGTGTCAATTGAAGTTTTATTTTATTTTTGTTTATTTGCAACTTGAAACTTCAAATTCCTTGCTTACTAACAGAAAAACTAAATTTTTGCGTGAAGAATATTAATATTGTTTACAAAACGAGTGAAATGAGTGATTTGACATCTCAGAAGGTTGCAGAGATAAAAGTGCTGACTGACACCGAAAATTATTCTAATCGAGTAAGTATAAAATTAGTAGCCTTTCTTCCCCTTTTAATCCATATTCTATTAAAAAATCAAAGTGCGCTTAATAATACGGCCAGGGACTGTATTTTATTTTCATTATTTGAAATTCCACCTCAACAAACTTAGCGTAAGTCTTTGTGCATTAAGAAATTATGCGAGTCGATGAAGGTAAAAAACGACGATATATACGAGTTTTTTTTTTTAATTTTATCCCTCTGCACAGTTCAATATAAAAGTAAATAATTCTTATCTAACGACGATGTGTTATAAGACGGATGGGCATCTTGATAAATTCTTCTAGGAAATTGCCATGTCAAGTAATTATCTGTAAGAGCGTGTTTGGAAGCGAGCTTAGAATGATTCAGATAACACTTTGAAAGTACTCCGCGAGCGAAAGATTTTCCTCATTCCGTTTTTTCAGCTCTATGCGAAAGCAAAACAAAAAAAATCTTAGATAACAGTTAATTGCCCTCTCTCTGTCGAGGAGGAAAACAACCAGAAGGTGAGAAAATTGATCATTAATTTTAATTGTTGTTGGCCTCGACGCGAAGAACAAATTGTCACGAACTGTATATTTTTTTTTTAATGACGGTACGTATTCCTTCCCTCTCTTAAACTTGGTAATGTAAGAAGAGCGCGGTCTCGTGCCCGAGATTCAATTTACTTTATTTCAGTTCGTTACGTAGATAACATCACGAAAGATAACGTTTAGGGGCTACTGTCCGCTGAATGTGAGTAACCATAACTTTGATAATTTGAAAGGAATTTTGAAACTATGCGGCACATCGGTGACAATTTCTACATTATATGTTCCAGATGAAAAATCGGTATCATGTAAATTTCCGTTATAATACTGAAATATTATATAAGTATTATATAAGTAATTTTTCTTTCAGGGAAGCTTAATGCCTGTGATTATTCTGTTCCTCTATTTTCCGTCCCGAGACTATTAGTGAATTCGACCGCTTGCGCTACCTCACGTTAAAGCTTGTTCACAGTTCGTCTTTATATTTAAAAACTGTCTTAAATATATCTTCACATTCTTCTTAGCTGATAACATGATTTGTATAATATTTGTACGGATCAATCTTAAGCTCTGAAACTTTTCATTTTTATATTCGTAAATCTATAGGAAGCTATTCGAAACATCGCCCCGATTTTATATTCTTCCAACCACGAAGATATCGCTTTATTAATATACGATAAACTAAAGTCTTATCGCGGGAAAAAAAAGATCATATATAATCATATAACATTATATATAATTATATATAATCATGTGTGATTTATATATGAATTTTGTTTCTATATGGTATAGTATATTTGTTTCTATACATATAATTAATGCCCACATGAAATAAAAATACTGACTTAAATAAAAAGCAAGAAGGAATATTATGATTGAATCAAATCTACATCATGGGTAGCCATAAACATAAGCGTTTACTTCAATTACACCGATATAACAGTATTTTTTAGATGCAGGACATATCTAATTATATATGAATCTTGTCCATATATGTGGTTACACATATGATTATATATATCTATATGGGAAAAAATGATGCTTTGTCATTTAATTAAATATCGATATCATGTGCTGTCAGAAGTCACAAGTAGCCAGAAGCATTTATTTCGATTGTATTTGCGTGTAATTTATAAATAACAGTATTTTTCCTTTGTAGATATATATGATTATACACAGTCATATCTCACATATGATCTTTTTTCCCGGGTATATGGACAAAATTCATTTATAGTAATTTTTCTCGGGTATTACAACCGTCGAGACGTCAGGAGTGCAATCGCGCGGAGGAATTAGCCGCTTCGCGTAGTAGCCGCGCGCAGCACGTGACCAATGTAACCACCGTAACCCATCTTCAGACACTCTCGACACGGCTTAGTAAATAAGAGCAAGTGATTTCACGACGGGCGCATACCGAGTGAGCCGGCCACGAAATCGATCACGCCGGCCTTGATGTTGCCCGCACGGTCCTTCTCCTGTCTCAGCGGCACCACGTGCTGCTTGTCCGCTCCAATCGACACCGCGATGTTCTCCATCGTCATTGTCAAGTTTGTTCCGGTTTCGGGGGAAATTTCACAGTCACATGCGTCTCGAAGCTGCAGTGAACATACAGAAACCACCGACCGCGTCACGAAGCGCGTGCGATACTGGCGATCGCACGTTTTGCAAGGCAATACATATCTAGGAGGGGGAAAGTCGCTCTATTGGCCCCATCGTTACTCTCGTACGTTGACACAAGAATGCGTAAACGAAGCCCGATGGCGAGGAAAAGCGGAGATTATTCACCCGATGCCACTTATCGATCGATAAAAAAGGGCTCTTGCTAGTTTTTATATATTATCGTGGTCAAAAATAAACTCGGTTTGAAAATTAATAACACAAATTTCGGGGGAAAAGTGTATATGTACAAATATATATTTTGTATTTCTCCATTATTATTTGTACATTCTTCAGTGTGCAAATTCAGCGCGCCTAAAATTATGTATATTACCATGTAACATGCATGTCTAAAAGACATCTCAAAGACGTCGGTTAGATGTCTTATTGTTTCAAAGATGTCTTAATGTTCTCTGGATTCTTTGTGCAAAAATATCGCCAAGGTTAATAATATGTTTATATATTTTTCCGGATTTGTTAAAGCTTCAAGTTTTGACAACTTGACATCTGACTCTTTGTCAGTAATCTTGTTTATATTCTCAGCATTCTTCGTTTTTTCTATGAGAAGACTGAGGTATATCTGGAGAAAATTAATGATACTTTCAGTACAATTAGCTAGTGATTAATGTATGTTAGTTTCGAAATCTTTACAAGCAATTTTATAAGCAATCTTCATCTCAATTTAGTATAAAATGCCTCGTTTTTGAGATATTTACAGGTCCCGATACTTTTTCACACTCTCTACGGAAATAAAATATTAAATTATTAATATACATATAATTTATCTTATATAACCTTCTGGATACGGAAGTGAGAATAGTTTTGTATATTTTACTTTGTAATTTTTGTATCCATTGTGTTACACTTGGTAGGCATGCCACAAGAATTTTTAATTGTTCTAAATTTTGCAGTCAATTTTTATGTAATCCCGTATATTTAATATCCCTTTCCCGTTGCTGCTGAAGCATTTAGTCTTTAAACTCAATCTGTCATGCAACATATTCCAGTAAGTAAATCTTCTCGTTATGGCAATTATGCTGTTCTATTAAGGGGTAAAACCACTTTAGAAATTTCGGAAAATCGATATTTTTCTCGGCTTAAATGACACTTTAGGGTTTTAAAAATACGAAGCAATGTCTTATAGCGAGAAAAAATTTAAAGTCGATTTTGAGCGTCATTTGTGCAGCGCACTACTGTACCGACTTAGGAGTCGGCAGTTTCGGCGCGCCGCGCAGTCAGTCAACTCCACAGATACTTTCTTCGAGTATTTAGTACTACTACGTATTAGTATGGCGCTAGTAGTCTATATTATTTCAAAAATAATAACGTGGCTTCAGTGCAACAGTCGATAATATCACGTCGCTTGGATGTTACAAGACGCTTTGTTTCTGGTTTAGAATACTCGTAAATATTTTGCTTCAGTTTTTTATTTCGAACTTTTTAACGATTATGAGTAAAAAGAAGAAGGTGTATGTTGGATAAAAAGGTACTAAGCTAATACTACAGCTACAAAAAGGAGTAAAATATCAGACAACCACAGAATCGATACGAAAAGGAAGAAGATCCCAAAAACGTGAGCACGTCTGCTCAAAAAATTCAACACATCCGGGAACAATTATGATTCACCTCGGTGAGCAAGAATAGAGCCCCAGATCTAGCGACATCCTGAGGATGTCCTTAGGACGTCCGAAGTCCTAAGTATATATCCGCAGGATATCCACAGAATGTCCATGGGATATCGTATGCTGTTTGGGGAATTATTACTTTACCTGTGACTCAACGTCAATATTAATGTATCTTATAATAATACAATGTATCTTATAGTAATGTATAACGTAGTCGACAATTACACCTACCGGTTTCTATTAATATCGTAATAAAATAACAAACTTACAATAAAATATAAATAACAATAATTCTATGTGTACGATTCATTCGAAGCTGCAAACGCTTTGAAGAACTTAAAAGAAAAATATTGATTGGTCTATTCGACGCTTCGAAGCAATTGCAACATGAAATGGATCCTGTCTTATGTTTTGTAAAGTCTTGTATCCACGATACTAGAGGGAGCGGTGCACTTGGACACGGTACAATTGTACACAGCCAATCACAGCACCGTATACCTAGAGACATTTCTAGAGTCCCTTGAAATAGCGACTTGTGATTGGACTGTGTCCAAATGCCCCGTGTCCAAGTGATACACTTACACCCGATACTAGGGTTGCATTCGGGAATACACATTGAAGGGCATTTTATTGATCGATCATAAAGAAATTTTAATTATTTTTATCGTGATTGGCCAATTAAATGTTGCTCTATCTTCAGTATGGTGTTTTCAAACGCAGCCTTCGGTCAGATTTCGGTCCGAGTTGGTCAGCAGGATATAATAGGTGCAACAAATTACTACAAATGTTAGTAATTTTGCATTAATTTCTAGTAGTTTTTAAAGCAGATAAATAAGACTGCGTTCAAGGTTGATGAAATGCTATGAAATACGTCGTACGATGAGTTTGCCAAATGTGCCGATTAGCGATCAGATAGAGAATTTCTAGTGTGTCTAGAGAAAAATTTGGAAACCCTTGAAATTCCCTATCCAACAATCAATTAGTACACTCGACAACGCTCGTCGTATGACGGATCTAATACCAGTTTACGGCTTAAAGTTTACTACCTATTGTAAATGTCGCTTTATGCAAGGCTGCGTCCCGAAATCTTACTCAACGGGCGGAGTAGCATTTAATTGACAAATTATGATAAAGGAATTCTTGCCCTTTTTGTCCCGATCAGTTAAATGTTGCTATATCCATTGAGTAGGGTTTCAGAACGCAGTCTTGTTTATATCTTCGGGTCGTCATGGAAACACAGTGTCGCGCCGAAATCACCAAGGGAACTCGGCCGAGCTTTGAATCCGCAAAGCGCGATGGGATCGATTCGCGCCGATCATCGCGCGCGATCGCACGCTCAAACCTTTCGCCGGCGAATGACGAGAATCGGCGTGGCGCTCAGCGCCATGAAATTCCCTAGGGCGCGATGATCGCGCGCACAGCGGCTGTGCTCGCCTCCGCTGGCACGACACACATGCCCGACGGACACGACGACGTGCGCGACATTGTGCGACATCCCAAAACACATGAATTCGCCCCGCGGCCGCGACTGATATCCGTCGTCGTCGCTTCGCCGTCGTGGTCGTTTCTCTCTTTCTATCTCTCTTCACCTTTTTTGTTTTTAATCCTCCTTGAATTCGCTCGCTCGCTCGGACGCACGCACGAGGAAGCGCGAAAGCGAGTCCGAGAAGCGCGTCTCAACGGAGGAGGACCGGGGACGCGGACCGACGGCTCTGTCGTCGCCGTTCGTTGTCGCCCGATCGCAGATAGTGCAGGCGAAGTTGCGCGAGCCGAGATCAACAACAATAACAGCCTAGGTCAGAGGGAAAGTGCGCACTGCGTTGCGCAGCGCAGCGTGTCGCCGTGCGTTCCTGCCCCTTTGTACCTAACTCGGTATGAAACTGCCATGATAACTGCTGCTGCTGCGCGTCCCCGTCGCGATACAATAGGCTCGTCGCTAGTGTCCTAGCTGATAGGCGACCCGACCGTTCAACATGAGAGTGGTTCATTCTCCGGAGAGCATCGTAGCGGTAAGTGGTGTCGTCGTACGGCGACGCGTCAGCGTCGCGGCGTCTGCCCTCGTCGACGACGAGCATGACCATACACGCACATATATACATGTATACATCCACACACGTATTATGCATGCACACACTCTCTCTCTCTCTCTCACACACACGCTTGTCGTGTGTGCCCCCTCGCGCGATTTAGCACCGATCGCGAAGCCTGTCTTGGCTGCCTCTTCTTCGTCCTCCGCCATTAAGTCCGCTCGCGTTACGGTGGCTCGCCGACGATGACGGCGCTCGTCGTGGCCCCACCGAGGATCTTCGGCGACGCCGTAGCCGACTCCCAGCGACAGTGAACCGTTATGTCGACGGGTCTGCTCGGCGCGTCGCCCATAGGTCGCCGCCGCGGCGATCCGGTCGATACGACGACACCCGACGACGCTCGTCCCGTCCGTGGCGCTGACTTCCAAGCAACGGGGCTGTCGACAAGCCTCGAGGCGACGGAGCGCTCGTCCGAGCTCAGTCGAGCCCCGAGGAAGCGCAGCAGCCGATGAACTTCGGTGACGAGTGGGACGAGGCTGACTGGCTGCGCGACCGTCTCCCCTTTTTTTTCTCTCTCTCTCTCTCTCTCTCTCTCCTCACAAGGACGATCCTTGCGAGGGGGTCTCATCGTCGACGAGCGGCTCGCCTCGTCCGTTGGTGTCGTATCCGGCTGTTCGCCGCGTCGGGGGACGCAGTGTACGGAACGATAAACGTTCGAGTGGGAATGTGAACACGGCCCCGGAGAGGGAGGAGGAGTGTGGACGAGCTGGGGCTCTCGCGAGGGGATGACACGTGTGTGCACGGAACTTGCTCCGCGAGAGCTCCCCCAGGGAAAGCAGACTCGCCTCGGTGCTTGACGTTTCGACGAACAGCTGAGAGTTACATCGGGTGCTGCGACCGTGGACCGATGTTGTAGATATAAAGGTCGCGATGCGCGATACTGGCAGCGGTATCTCGTCGGGAAAACGTCGTCGCCGTGCTCTTTCCGCTGGACAGGCTTGTCCATTGAGAATCGGACAGTGCTTCGCGGCCGTGCTATGTGGCGGCTCTAGCGTTGCATGAGACAAGGGTCTCTCTCTGATGGGCTTGCTCCAGGTTCGAGGACGTTGTTTTTTAATATTGATGTTATTTACCCCGCTGTGTGTCGCGATTCCACATTGACAGTGGAAAAGTCGGACGATTATTATGTCGTGTCCGCGGAACATATCGAATTCCACGGGTGTGAGAGGAGGGGAAGAGAACAAGTGTGATATATCACCTTTGACGGGAATACATTAACCCGAATTTGTTTTGGGGGAATCTATTGTGTATCGAGGCGGATCCTTTCTCACACGGGAACGCTACATCTTTCTTTACTCTTGCGTTTTCAGTGAAAGTCAGCGTCGCAGAATGGTGGTGGATTGCTATTCGATTCAGGCCTCAGCAACCATAGGAAGAAAGCAGGAGCGAAGGTTAGGTTGCACAGTGGGTGCAAAGATGCAAACGAATACCGGCGGTGGGGGAGGTGGAATGACACCTAAAGAGCTTTGCGATAACGACGACCTGGCCACATCTCTCGTGTTAGATCCCTACTTAGGATTCGTTACACATAAAATGAACATCAGGTACTGTGGAATTGCTTATTTGTCGATTCCCTTTTTCGCATCTAAACTGACCGCACCGGTTCGACAAATTTACGCACACCGAAGCGGGAAAATCTCTCTGCACGTACTCTTCGCACGCTTCGATGTGAATTACTCGAACCGGTGTAGCTGGTTTAGCTAGAAAGAACAGACTGTACATATACCGTGCATATGCAAAACTGTTCCTTATAGCTGGACAGGCTATACTAGCTTGCACTAGCTCGCATTGGTTCTATCTCCCTTTTTCTTACGCGAAGCTGTGTGTCTGTTTCTTTGTAAGTTCCGAGAGTGTGTGTTAGTTTAGCGACAAAGAAGAGACCTTATCTATGTGTCTTTACACTCATAACTATATCATGCGGCATCTATGTACACCCGGGAGACTGACCTATTGAACCGCTGCTTTGTCCAATAGATACAGACCGTTGAAGGCGAACAAGGAGGAGCTCCGGAAAATCATCTGTGAATTCATTCAGAGTCAAAATTACGAGAAGGCTTACAAGAAATTGATGGGTGGAGATTGGGGTGCGCGACTCCCCCATACGAAATCTAAGCAGCAGCAAATCAATCTGGAAAATCACGTAAGCGCACAAAGCGGAATTAGATTGATTACTCAATGTGAATGTGCGGGTTCACTTATCGCTCTTCGCTTCATGTTTAAGTTAATCTTCAAACTGGGTTAGACGAAAGTCTCATTTTTATGTGAACGATGAAGCGCGTCATGATAAAACAGTTGCTTACTTGCAGGTTAAGAGATACCTGCGAGTTTTCGACAAGGAATCTGGATTCGCAATAGAGCCGTGCTACAGATACAGTTTGGAGGGTCAAAAGGGCGCTAAGATATGCGCTACTCGAAAGTGGCTGAAGAACGAGAAGATTTCTTGCCTCGTCGGCTGCATAGCGGAGCTAAGCGAGAAGGTTTGAGAATGGCCGCCATTTGATAGATACAGATCGAGATATCCGTTCGGTTTTCATCGAATTTCCTTTTTCTCCCCGTGTTCCGTGTCTGTATTTTTATTTGACATCGAACGTACGTATTTTTTAGGAGGAAGCTGCATTGCTGCATCCCGGGAAGAACGACTTCTCCGTGATGTTCAGCTGCCGGAAGAATTGCGCCCAGTTGTGGCTGGGACCTGCCGCCTACATCAATCACGATTGCAGAGCGAACTGCAAGGTCAGCAATATCTGCATGATTGCGCGAGATTGGAGGACGCAATTTGAGACGCATCGCCGCGTTATCTCACACGCTGATATGCGGGGATATTGATTTCACGGGGTTGCTTGCAGTTCGTGCCGACAGGAAGGGACACCGCCTGCGTCAAGGTGCTGCGCGACATCGAGGTGGGCGAGGAGATCACGTGTTTCTACGGGGAGGATTTCTTCGGCGATAACAACTGTTATTGCGAATGCGAGACGTGCGAGAGGCGGGGAACCGGCGCGTTCGCGAGTCAAAAACCGGGCGAGGAACTGTCGTCAGGTATTCTTGCAACCGGAAGCGGACGGGCGAGAGAGGGTCTTACGTCGTCGTGAGCTTCGTCGCTGACTCGGATTTGCTTCTAGGTTACCGCTTGAGGGAAACGGACAACAGAATCAACCGGACGAAGCACCGACAGCAACCGTTGAACAGGAACAAGCAGCAGGCCGATACCGCACTCACCGAGCGAAACGCGGTCTTGGTCGGTAACGTGGCTGTCGCACCGCAGTCCCTCAGTATGAAGGAACTGCGACGTAAAGGACTCACCAAGTACGACGCCGAGCTGCTGATCGCGCAGGGCTGCCGCTTCTCGGACATCAATCAGCAGCAGCCGGCGATCAACAACGGCGAGAACGTGCTGCAGAGTCGACCTCATCCCTCCGCATTGACCACCACCTCCGTCACGAGGAGCCTCCGGAACAAACAGATGGGCAAGTTCGACGGCAACACCGGTGACGGAGGCGTCATGAAAAATACTCAGCCGCTCAGAGCGCCTAGGTAACGTAACCGGGAACTGCAGTAATGCCTTCCGCTTCCGGTTAGAGTATTTCGCGCGTTGTACTTACTTTGGTCTGTTCTTTATAGCTGAACTGGCCGCACTAGTCCGAGAAATTTACACGCACATTGAAACGTACGAAGCGTATGTACAACATTTTTACGCTTCAGTGTGTCATTTTTTTGAAATAGTAGTAGTGCGGCCAGTCATGACTCGGTTGGTTTTGAGAGGAATCTGCAATTTAGTCGCATTAAGGTCGTTTTACATTAGTTGCAAGTCGGTCGCATGCATACGTAACACTTGTCGCGACAACCAATCAGAAGTGTCAGTGGTACCATTGACGCTTCTGATTGGTTGTTGCGACAAGCGTTGCCTCTGCTCGCGATCGACTTGTGATTAATGTAGAACGACCTTAAGGCCCTTAACGGTACATGTAAAAAACGTAAGAAGCAGTAAGCCAACTGACCAATTACGGTCGATTATTCTCCGATCTTAAGGATAGAATAATCGATTGTGATTGGTCAATCTTCTTATTGCTTACGTTTTTTTGCGCCGTAAATTGTACACGGTGAATGCACTATTACTGTTGCATTTACTGTTGCGTTTAATGACTAAATTGCTGATTCTTCTCAGAATTAATGGTCATAATATAAAAATATATAGATACGATGCGTCCTAATCGGAAATGGAAGGCGTTATGGAAATTGTACGTAAACAGTTTTAGTAATCTTGATTTGAAATTTATTTTATGCAAAGTACTTAGACTTGAATTTAGAATCAGGTCTGAGTTTTTAAGCCTGTATTTTAACTTTTTAACACACGGTTTTGATTATTTTCATTAAATTCTAAACTTCTAATTTCATATTAAGATAGTTTCAATATTCACAAAAATCTCAATATTTTGTTATCATAACTTTAAAGTAATTATTTTTTATACCCGAGTTAACACGGGCGTGTGTATCATGATGATACAAAATAAAGCGCTGGCCGAGTTAACTTTGGCCTGCGTGTTAAGAGCCTGCGTGTGAGAAATCTATTTACTTATGGAAAGGAAATAGAAAGCAAGAAACAAGAAACAAAGGGCGCATTATGGATCAGGCTTAATAGTCACTCACTTGAAACTTGTCTCATGTGAGAGATACTCAGACCTGAATTTAGAATTAGATCTATTTTTAAAAATTTCTGTATTTTTTACTGATATTTTTTATTAATATTAAAATTTTTTTATTAATAGTTGAAACCTGGCTCAGATGTTTTGAATTCAGAGGTAGATGTGGGCTTTTCAGTTGAACAAATTAACGAGTGTTAATACAGACCTCAAACCTGAATTCAGAGTTGCATCTGTGAGTCTCTCAGTTGAATTACGATATACGCGACCTTGCATTTTTGTGATTACGAGTCAAGTGAAAAATCGCATCTAACTCTAATATCCGTATTAATAGTTGTTACTTTTATGTTTGAAACTTGTTTCAGATAAGATACTCAGATAAGATACAGATTTGAATTCAGAGTTAAATGTGAGTTTTTCAGTTGAATAGCGTGTACAGACGTAATGTCAAATGTATCATATGATTCAAGTAAAAAGTTGAGATCTAACTTTCAGTTAAAATCTGAGCATGGAACGAATCTCAAGGATGTCAATTATTAATGCGGATCTTAGTTGAAATTCCCTTGTCCTATTTAAGATAGGTTTCAAGGAACGACTAAAGTTAGTTGGATCATCTAATATACATGATGTTATATTTATAATCGTGATTCAACTGAAAATCTCATACCCGACTCTGAATTCAAATTCGGGTATCTCATGTGAGGCAAGTTTCACGTTCAACGACCTCTAATACTCGCCTTAGCCTTATTTGAACATACTTACGAATAATCAATTCCGTAGACTGCACAAGCGGACGGAATCGAAGAAAGGCAAGCTCGCCGTGAAATCCCGGTCTCCGTGTCTCAGCAGCTCGGCGATCAAGGACACCGAAGTGGCGGACATCGGCCACCGCAAGGAGGACTCGGACAGAGTGCCGGTGCACGAAGAGAGTCTGTATTCGCGGCTGCAGAAGCAGATGCACTCGAGCGCGGAGATGGAGCGTGGTTTCTGCGCGGAAGAAACGAGCGCGGAATCCTCGCACGAGGGTCCCGCCTTCCCACGGGAGTCTCCGTTGCGACTGACGGAGATGGTGACGGGCAACGAGTCGAGCGGCGACTCGCCGGCGGCGGCGGAGGAGGAAGAGGAGGAGGAGGAGGAGCGGGGAATACCGGACCTCACCGCGGAAGTCGACACTCCTAAGACAGTAGATAACGTTAATTCTTCCACTTACAAAAAGGGACATTATAGTACAAACGCCTGTGATTCAATCCGACTTAGTTCCACGTCTCAAGTCGACGTAACGCGCTTACCGGAGCCGGCGGCGGAGGGCACCTGCCGCGCCTCGTCGCCCAACGCGCGTCTCAACGGCAGCGAGAACGGCTCGGCGGAACCTGCGAGCAAACGCTCCAAGTCCCAGAGCAGGCAATTCGCGGAGAGCCGCAAGGCGTCGGAGGAATCGTCTCGCGAGTTCGAGCGTGACGCTTCGTCGCCGTCGGCCGCCGGCGAGAAGGCTTCGCGGCCGGTTGACCTTCGCGAGAGCGACGCGCAGGTCGTGGTCGCTCCGCGCGGCGCGGAGGATTGCGACGCGATCGCGTCGCAGAAGCGCCCGAGTGTGGATCGAAAGGCGGCGAGTGAGAGCTGCGAGAGCGCGGTCATCGCGGTGAGCGACGCGGTGACTCGCTCGGACAGTGTCGGGTTCAGTGGACTGCACCCGGAGGGAGCGGAGGACGCGGCGGCTGCGAGTACCGGGGACGTTTTCAAGTGCCGCGGTAGTTCGACGCTGCCGAGCCAAGAGGACTGCCCGGCTGCGAGAAGCGACGGCGCGTACGTCGCCGGCGCGGAGCGGAGCGACGTCAAGACCGACCTGACGATGGCGTTGTGCGCGGCCGACGGCAGGGTGACCTTCGAGGGGAGCGGCGCGGACTTCGGCGGCGTGCAGACCGCGAGCTACGGCGACCTGACGGGCCTGGACGCGTTCACCAGCTCGTCGAAGCGATCCTCGTCCAAACGGAAAGACCCCTCGGACGGCTCCTCGAGGTCCCGCAAGGCGCAGAAGAGGCTCTCGAGCGGCAAGTCCAAGTCCAAACACGGCGCGCCGCTGGAGGACCGACACTCGCCGGCGGCCGACGGCGGCAGCCTGGCGAAGAGCAAGTCGAGCAAGAGCAAGAACCGGTCGACCAGGAGCCAGAGGAGGGACCGGCAGAGGTCGGCGACCGCAGAGATCGGCGAGGCCGACGATGACTCGGGCATCCAGGGCGACATCTACGAGTTCAGCGAGAAGGAGAGCAACCTGGAGGACATCGGCATACTGTCCATCATAAGACGCAGCGGCAAGCACGAGTCCCGCCACCACCACCACCACCACCACGCCTCCTCGATCTCGTCGCATCTGCAGGAGATGCAGTGCAACGAGGACTACAGCAAGACCGAGCCGCCGGTGCTCGTGGCGGAGGAGCCCTGGCCGCCGGCTCCCAGCCGAAGCGAGCACCACGCCGCCGAGCCCAGCAACGGTGTTCAGTCGACAGCGAACTGCGACGTCGACGCGAGCTTGGAGAGGTAAATGCGATCGAATTTCAAAGAAAGAAGGAGGTATAAGTAAGGGATGTACAATCTTTGAGTAATTGGAAGAGGCCAATGAGAGTCGGCGCACAGTGGAGCGACACACTCAAATTTGTGGTGGTCGAGGCCCTAAACGTGAGTTTTTACGTATTCTAATGTATAATTGTGTGTTTTAAAAGATCCTGACTCGATACCGTTTGCGTTCAGCAGAGAATCAGGCTCAGTGAACGCTTAGTGATTATCGCCTGTCACTGGGATGTTCTTTTTCCTTCGGATCTTTGATAAAACCGGAAGAATATAGCAATAATTATTCGGCGCTCACCGAGCTATTTTCTCTGTCGAATGCAGTCGTTGAATTCAGATCTGCGATGTTCACTTAAGAAACTTTAGACATTTTTTCCTGGTGTTCCTGTTTCAAATAAGTTACCCTGTAGATATGTATGAAAACAGAAAAGACACTTCTTGAAACTCGATTCGGCATACTTGTAAAAAGATTCGGACTTTCTTACCGAGGGTTCTTTCTTTTAACCTGGACAATTAACAAATAGCCGTAAAATTAATGCAACAGAAATTATGAGAAAAGTTAAAAACGTAAGTTGCATGTTACACTAATTTATGGCTATTTATTAATTGTTCAAATTAAAGGAAAGCGTCCGGACATTTTTATGAATGTGTTGAATTGATTACGAGTGTTATTTTGTGTGTACATTCTTTTATTTCCACACATACTGTCACATAAATTGGCATGATTTTCCTCGCTTCTGTCGTCAGCAAAGAAGAATAGCCACAGCGAGTATCCAGAAGCATTAATGTAAAAACCAGTATGTTTAAAACTTAATACTTCATTCAATTGAACAAGAGAGAGAGAGAGAGAGAGAGAGAGAGAGAGAGAGAGAGAGAGAGAGCTTACAACATCCTTAAATTTATCTTTCTTTAAGATGGTTAGAAAGGTTAAATCAAGAATGAAAATGTGGAAATTTATAATCTTTTTAATGTTTCCTAAAATTTTGGAAAATACAGCATAGTTGGTTTAAAACTTGCATACCTACATCCATTGTTTATACTAGAAGTAGATCAGACGAATTGTATGTAATTTTTCGACTTTCGGCGTTCTCTATTGCTCATAAACGTGCAGATATGCACAGTTGAATTGGATTTATTAAAGTACTGTGCAAAGTAATTATGAGCATATAAACTCGGCAGAATTTAGCAGGACTCATAACTTCTGCCTCGTTAAATTAATTGCGAATTTCCTGAAAAATTGCTCAAATTTAAGATGCATTTAGGAAAAAAAACCAAAGCCACTCATATATTTACAATTATCTTATCATTTACATCCATGAATGAAATATCTTCACTGCAATGGTTAGCGCGGCCAAAATTTTTCGAGTCCACCAAATAGGTTCGTAATTGTAGCTATAACATGAGCAGGAATATTTTATATGACATTATTCACGTTTTCGTAAGTTTTCTATGAGGAAACGGAAGTAGTTAAGACATAATTGAGTTTATCATTATATAAACCAAGCATTAAACTATTTTTAAATGACTCAACATTTTTTATAATTCTGAAGAATTGGCGAAATAAGGTTTTGGCAAGCGCTCCTGTTGGCCTCTTCCAATTTATAATTTGCTCAAGCGATTGAATTAATTTAACAAAAAAACACGTCTTGATATCCAAGGCTTCCGCGGCATGGCAAACTCAGTGGCTTTCGGATCGCAGCTACGTTTTTGCGGGTTTGCTTCCAACGTTTCGTGAACATTCCGCTTTATCGAAGAGAAGAACACCATTTGATGCCACTTCTGATGTGTGCACGAAAGTGTGCACGTTGAGACAAATTTCCGCAAGAAACGCGGCTCCAAGCCGGAAGCCAAGCATACCGTTTCTCTCCTTTAATACGCGTGTTATAATGATTTTCCGCTGAAGAGTCAGCTTGATCTCGACGATATGTTTTAACGACGGCGCACTGAGCTAGCACGATACGCAAGTATCGTGAGAAGTATCCGAAGCAAATAATTGCGATATTCTCCCTTTGATTCAAATATATAGGATAGCTGCAGACCTGGAAAACCGGAAAAAATCGCTTGGGAAAAACGTGGGAAAATCGGGAAAAGATATAAAAGAGTCTGGAATTTTGAACTCACAACTCCTTTAAACAATCTTATTCTAAAGAGTACATGTAATTTTTCTTTAATATTACATTTAACATTTATAATCCAATGCGTTCCAATGAGTTCTCAAGGGCTCTTATCGCTCTTTTTTTTTTACATTTTCGAAGAAGATGTGAAAATCGCTTCTTGTGGATTGTTTCCGACATGTGAGCATTTCGATTCACTTCATCAGGGACAGAAAAGAGCAAGCATGATCCTCGAAAACACGACGACGTGTTTTCTCGCTGCGTGTCGCACCGGCTCGGTTCGTTTACATGCATCATCGAAATCAAGAGGATTAGTTGACGGAAGATTGATTTCTTGATCGTCAAAAGCGCATTAGACGATCGTTATGGAACCAGCGTGACAGACGGACTCCTTTCTTTCAGATTGGCAGCCTACGACGACAACAGCAGCAGCGCGCCCAAATCCTCGACCCCGTCCGAGTGCCAATGGAGAACCAGCAGCTCCGATTGCCGGGTTTGTCCGGTCACGCCGGAGAGAACCGGCGGTCGGTTGAAGCTGACGTTGCGTATGAAGCGGTCGCCGGTGCTGGACGACATCGCCGAGTCCGGCACCAGCCTGAGCGAGGACAGCTACGAGCCGGAGTACGAGGTGTTGCGCGTCGAGGGCGTCGAAAGGAGTAAGCGCCGGAAAAAGCACAAGAGCAGAAGCCACGAGAGGGGCCACAAGAAGCGGGACTACCAGCCGCCCATGAAGAGGCTACGGCTGATCCTGGGCAACGAGACACACACCATCGACTTGCCGCACTCTTAACAGCTATAATTCCTCTCCCCCTCTCCTCCCTCCCCGCACCGCGTATCTCCCTATCCCCTCTCGCCTGACCGTCACGGCGCGCATGTAATATTAATTGATTCAAAAGCTACTTTTCTGAGTATAATTCAAGGAAGATCACACACAGGCATTAGCACGCGCGCGCGCGCACACACACACACGCACGCGGAAAAAACAATTTTGTTAGTATAATTGATTTCCCTGCCTGGAGGCAATTTCCGTTGTCAGTGGATCAGACGAAAGTTCAGTTGTAGGGAAGATTTTCGTAGAAGAATTGATTGTTCAAACAAATGTTCTCAGTTGCGGAGATATTCTTGTCGTCGAGTTTTCATTTCTTGTCATCGAATTTTCATCTAGTTCCCATGATGTTGCGAGAACCGAGTTCATATTTTCCGTGTACACGCGCGCGCGCGCGCGCACGCACACACACACACACACACACACACACACACACACACACACACACACACACACACACACACAAATACACGCGCGCGTGGAAAATTAGGCCTCCTCGTCTTGTTATGCGCGACAGCAAGTTCTCATATCGAAATACCTTTCGCGATCATTTCGGTTTAGGGATAGAACCAGCCGTGTTTCTCTTCTCTCTTCCTCTTTATATCTTCTCTTTTCAATTTTCTCTCTCTTTTTTCCTCTCTCTCTCTCTCTCTCTCTCTCTCTNCTCTCTCTCTCTCTCTCTCTCTCTCTCTCTCTCTCTCTCTCTCTCTCTCTCTCTCTCTCTCTCTTTTCCTTTCTTTCTCTCTCTCTTTTTGTCTCCCGTTATCTAAATCTAGCGATGTACGATATCTTATTCTTGTAACAACGAATCTCTGAGGGCCTATACCGAGATGTTAATCGGGAAAACGCGTAGGTGAAGTTCTTTTTTAGGTGGCGTTTACATGTTTCTCCCGTTAGAGTAAAATTTCGCGCGTATGAGTCGGGCATCGATGGGGGGGATGATAACTTCGCGAATACTTGTCCGGGCGTTTGGCGGTTCCATAGAGATTAATCGTTCGTGGGGCGTTCCAGCTAGTACAGAAACGAAACGAAAGAGAGATGAAATCATTTCGCACGCAAAAACCGATGGAGCCGAGCTCAGCAACTTTCCCTGGCGAAATCGGCAGTCTGCGACGAGGGACGCAGAGGCAAGCGATAATATTGGACCGTATGATCTCCAAAAAAAGAAAAAAGAAAGAAAAAAAAATACAAAAAGCCGCCTTTCCTCTTACTTTTTTCTCGCATTCTTTTCCTTCGACTAAGCCTGCTTTCTAGCGAGCTACCGTACGTGACAGGTCACATGTAATGATTTTGCGCGTGACATAGAATTGTACGCGAACTAACACACTTGTGTCGCCCGAGTTAGAGCATCTCATTCGAATTCGTTCCCCGAGAGAAGCGAGGAGAACAAGTCCGCTTGCGCTGCTTTCTGTCTGTATGGTACTCCGGTACGGAGAGAGAAGGACGAAGGAAGAGGATCCCTACACTTATACTATGTATAATAATTATCTGATTAAACTTCTTAGCTAAATATTAGTTAGCGCACCATATTAATCGCTACTCCCGGACGAGAAATCGAATATCACTGGAGAGAGAACCTTGTAAATAATGCTTATATATATATATATAATGATATACATACATACGTATATATATAAGAGGTTTATTATATACCGTATTCTGTATTTGGTCGGTGTATCACAATGTCTCGGTGCAAGTCGACATATCGACACAGGCCCGTTGCATATACCATTGTATACGGAATACATCGTTCACGATTGTAATAGCGAAGTATTATAATGAGAGAGAGAGAGAGAGAGAGAGAGAGAGAGAGAGAGAGAGAGAATGTTTCTCTCGGCTCTTTGATGTCGCGCGTGCCGTTAATCGAACGTCCAGGTTGCGGACGAGGCCCCGGACGAGCGTTTCGCTGCGCGTGCCCGAGACATCCATTGCACGTCGCTTTCTTTCGAGTTACAAGCCGACGAGCGTTCGCTGCGCGCGCGCCGATCGCGTCGGCGATCTCTTTTCGATATCGAGCTCGAAGTACAGCGCTCTGTATCAGATAAACTATCGGATGCTCCTGGCTCGTTATCGAGAAAAATTCGCGGATTGTGAAGTTCCGTCAAGTTTGAGAGGAAAAAGATAAGTGTCGTTTCTCAATTTCGTCGAAGCGTGCCGGAAATCTGTCAACTTGTAATACAAATTTAATCGAAATGCGTTTCGATGCATTAAGAAAGAAACAAGAATATCATCGGAGCCATTTTCTCATTTGTATTATTATCTTTTCCTATTTATATTATTAACTTTCTAACTTGACGCATCCGTCGCGTGCAGCACACGCACGTTTTTGATGGCAAATCGTCGAAATTCTGAAAACGAATGTGATATCGCACAAGTTTGAAAGGAGAGTAGGAGGAGGATTGGTCGAGAAAAATTCGCCTTTGTAACGCGACGGGCGCGCTATGTTAGTTAGCGCGTACCGCGCTTGCTTGCCGAGATTTAGTTGAAAATTTGCCGACCTCGACGAATGGGCCGTTACTCATGTCCAACGATTCCTTTTATACTGTGAATAACGAATGATTTCTCGCTGCATCCCTAACGATCAATTGTAAAGAAAAGAAAAAAAAAGAAAAAATTCAACACGGTCGCGCGGCCGCCGCAGTCACGAACAATATTTTTCACAGATCTGCGTGAGTCCGTGTATCGCAAGCGGATTGTTATATGCGAGCTAGGAAAAAGTAGCGGGACCGACCGATCGACCGACGGAGCTGTCGGGAAAAATTATGCGAGAATCGTCACACGTTTCGCGCTGCGACGAAACGTGCAATTGAAATATTAGGTTAATTACTGATACCGTAGGCTGTACAGTTTACCGACTTACGCCTTTTTATTTTCGTCTTTCCTTTAGAAAGTGTTCGAAGTGCAATATTTTAGGCACACACAAAAAAAAAGTGTGAAGAGAGAGAGAGAGAGATCAACTTGTTGACTATTTATTGTAAAGATAAGAATTAACACACAGCGTAGTCTTACGTCGAGGAAGTAGCATGAAAGAGCCAATTCGTGCGCGCGCGCGAGAATATTTTATTAAAATTGATGATTTTTCTCTCAGCCCGAGTTTGCAGTTTTACTGGATTTCCAAAACGAGCGACCTTCTCTCGTCGTTGACCGCGCGCGAGAGTCGTCTTCGGAGAGAAAAAGTGAGGAGAGAGAAGGAACGGAAGAGAGAAGAGGGGAAAATTGAGTGTTCATGTGTGTGTGCTCGCGAGGGAGACGCGACGAGCTTCGCTTCTCGTTTCGCGCGCGTGCGACTCGAATGTTTCGCGAATGTTTCTCCGTGGGAACAACGTTCAGTGGCGGTTGCACTGATAACACGTTAATTAACGGCACCGATCGGCGGGGAACTGACAGAAAATTGAAGTTAGTTTTGGCGCTAAACATATTTTGTAGTAATAACGACACGCATGTAAGTTATGTAATGTTATCATTACTCTGACACTATAGTAACACTTACTAACTAGAAAAAATGGTTTCCCTGACTATTTTTGTGGTTGAAGAGTAGGTTCGGCGCCTGAAACTAAACTGATAAAATTTTCTATCGGTATGCCACGCACTTGGTAGATATTGCGAGAAGCGAGACAACAGTATTAATCAACGGTACATGATTGATAATGGGATTAACCGTTATTAACGACCGGGAGATATCGGGGTAGCCGACTCTTACTGATTACTAATTAGTAAACGATTGGCCATCACGGTTTGCGCTCGAATTGATTGATCTGTCAATGGCGACAAGTCGACCGAGAGCACAACAGCAGCAGCAGCAGCGATGATATCGGGATACACACAGGTGTGTGTGTGTGTGTGTGTGTGCATCCTTAGGTTCTCGCTGAAAGAAAATTCGGAGATAAATTTATGCATGCGTGCATACTTACATACATACATACATACATACATACATACTTACATACGTACATGCATACATACATAGATATATCACGTAAAAGAAGGTGAATTTTCATCGTAATTAGTTAACGGTAGGATTAGATCCTATTTTTAATATTCCAAAAATCGTTGGTGAAAATGAAAGAGAGGCGCGTCATAGATATCGAATATACTACGCGGGGAGAGTATCGTTTATACATAAATATATAAGTGAAATTATTATTATTATTTAATATAGCGCAATTGTAATCCGACCCGACGTCACGGCGGCGTAGAGCTCGGCCGGGGCGCTGCTCCGCTGTGTAATCGCATTAACGTAATGATCCTGTGTCACGTGTTGCGTGATCGTAGCGGCCCATTTTGAAATATTCCCTACAAGGTGCGAGGGAAGACGCGTCACGCGCTCGATGTACTTTTTTTTCTTCGTCCTTTGGTTTTCCCAGCCTACGAGCCGAACGATTCACGTGCCGACGAGCGATCGTAACTATTCGAATTGGGCGCGATCGGCGAGAAGCGCTTTTCCGAGTGACGAAACAAAATATGTGAGAGAGATAGAGAAAGGAAGAGAGAGAGAGAGAGAGAGAGAGAGAGAGAAAACGATGAGAAAGAGAGGAGAAGGGAGAACGGTTCCTTCTCGTACGAGAAGGTAATTACTTGAACTCGCCGGGGAGACGTTCGTTAGTTCCCTCGCGATATCTTTACACCCTCTCCCCCTCTTTGTTATCGGCAGAATTTGTCTCACTGCCATTAGGACAATGTTACACTACGATTTCGTCGTTCGTGACCGTGAGAGAGAAAAAAAAACGAGAGAGAGAGAGAGAGAGAGAGAGAGAGAGAGATCCGGGAAAAAATTTTCCATATATAATTGGATACAATTACATATAATTATATATAAGGCGTCATATGTAGAAAGTATGTCCATATATAAAAGTACATAATTATATATGAAGCGGCGGTACAGTTATACATGATTATATATAAATATATATATAACGTTATATATGATTATATTATATATGATTATATATATATAATGTTATATATGATTAAGTTATATATGATTATATGTAAATATATATTGATATATAATTATATATAATCATATATGTAGTTGTGTATATTTTTATATATGGACATATTCCACACATAATTGTATACGAGAAATTTTTTCCCGGAGAGCGAGCGAGCTAGTCGTCGTCATCATCGTTATCGTCGTCGTTGTAATTGTACCGCGCGAAACGCTGTAAACGAACATTGTTATTGATGAATTTCGTGTACGACGTTACGGAGGAGGAAGAGGAAGATGAGGAGGATGAGGAGGATGGGCCGAGCGGTCCGTCCTCGGCGGAGCTGGCCCGGGTGAGAAGAAGAGAACGATGCCGAGTTGTCTCCCTTCTTCTCCGTGGTCTCGCGGCCGCGCGCGGCGTACATTGTAATTACACAACTACTTTCTTTGTTGAGCGGAAGAATATTATAGAAATGTACATTGTCATGATTATTTTCTACGAATTAAGGAATCATAATAAATGAGATCGCATAAACGTAATCCACGCCGTCAGCTCTTCTCTCGCTCCTGGTTTCTTCCGTTTTGCACATCACCGTTTCGACGTTGATGAGAAAATCAATTTGCTGGAATAGCAAATTGTTTTGTTATATAGTGACAGCAAAAAAATTTGTTTGCTATCTGCTGGATATATGGACAGCAAAATAATTTGGTTATGTCA